TATGGTTCTTTGTAAATTTAAAACACAGAAATTAAATAACACTGTTCAGTATATGGTTATTGTATCACTTTAAGATCCCTTTACATTCATTTTGGTAATTGTTTTTGGGTCATTATTTTTCTGGGGTTTCTAAGAAGTTAGTGCTGAAATTCTATAACGGTTTCATATTTTCAGTGGGGAGAGAAATGAGTGCTCAGAGACTACGGAAGTTTTTTCTTACTGTATTTATAAGCCTCATCAACATTTGGGGATTCAGCTACATTAATCTGTGTTTAAAATCTCCAGCCAAAAATCTTCTGCATTGGCAGCTCCTCCTAAGCATTGTGACCACTGCAAATGCACTGAGGAACCTTTGTGAAGTACTTCAGTCACAATGAAGATTTGGCAATTCATTGCCAAACTTTCCAGTGCCTGGCCCCCGGGCCGGAGTCCAAAGCCCAGAGTTAGGCACAGTGGCTTCCCATACATCACATAAACAGAGGTAGGCACTTCAGAAAGGTAATTCAAAAACCTACACACCGGACAAGGACTCCAGTAGACCTCGTCTACAGGAAACAATAGATACAAGAAATTGCCTCCTAACTCCCGTTAGAGTTCAGGCACCTGAGTGAGAGCTTCAATGAGACACCTGCTTCTGCTCTGAATCCAAAGCCTGAAATTGTATCCCAAATGAGGGAGCCAACGTCATATTAGCAGTCACTCTTTTCTTGTACGGTTGTCTAAAGGAGGGGGAGATGGCAATATTGCCAGGAAACGAGTGCAAGAGAAAGCATGACTCTGTATGGCCTAGCAGCTAGGGTGCCTGGCTAGAGAAGAGAGGCTTTCCAGATCTTGCTGTGACAACTGCTTATGCATTTTACATTTAACAGTCATTGAAATTGAACCAGAAATAACTGGGAGCAGGGACTAGAGCAGAGGACTGTCTCCTTCCCAACCACTAGCCTGGAGCTATGGTCCTTCCTCTGTTCGGTCCCTCTCAGGTTCATGGGTTTGGGATATTTCTTGGCATAGTGGGCCAGCTTCAACTGCAGCAAGGCAGCCTCACCTGCAGCCCAGCACTCTTTTTTTTTTTCTTCCCCAGGGGGGGAAACGGGAAAAAGAGAAGGGGGAAGATAAGGGTTTCAGGCTAAAGAGAGCTTAAGATATTCCACTCCCAGGCCATTACACACAAGGTTGCAAACCGAGAAATAAAAGCAGCAGAGAGTGGGAAAAATCCTTACACACCAGAAAGTAAAAAAAAAAGACACAGCACCTTTCTTTTTGGCTGCTACATGGTTCTCATTCTGTTCCCTCATATATGTGCTCATGATACAATATAAAGTGTTGCATGTACATCTCATCTACAGCAGCCCCGTGTGCAGGTATAGTAGCTCAAATCCATTGACTTCACTTTTTACATACTATACTGTGTGCTGGCTTCAAAAAATATGGATCCTTTTTCATGAGGTTCTTTTCTTACACTAGTTTCCATTTTCATTGTACTTTTAAAAAGATATAAATATTGCACAGGGGAGGGGGAAGAAGGGGAAACCTGCCAGAAACCAAAGAGACTTTCAAGCAATTCATTTTTTAGTGCATCAAGGACTTGAGGGGAGAAAATCCTGCTGCCTTCTTGACATTCTGATACATCTTCATTGAATCCAGGTCATTGTTTTTCAAAGACTGACTAATCAAGTTGAGAGCTATCCTTCTATACAACTTTGCAACTACAGTTTGCACAACAGGACTTCAGTGCGCGTGCTGAGCTGGAGTGTTATGTAACAGGTCAGTCAGAAAGAGCTACAGCCCATTAAAATATACATTTGCATTGCTCTGGATAATCTTCTGCTCTGCACTATTTTTATATGATTTGCATTGCTTAAAAAGAGGCTCTTTTGGGGAAATCGTTTTTTGTCATAATTTAGCATATGCTTTGCCAAATCAGATAGGAACTTTTGTGGTTTTATATTTAAATGCATCAGACTGAAAATTGCAGTGATTTTCCGGGGGGCAGGGATCAGGTTTTAGTTTGAATGCATTAGCAGGGGCGGGCAAAATGCAGCCCAGGGGCCAGATGCCGCCCGCCAGGCCATTCTATCTGGCCTGCAGCGCCCCTAAAAAATTTAGAAAATTAATATTTATCTGCCGTGTGCTGCCCATCATGTGGCCCCTGATGGCTTGCCAAAACTAAGTAAGCAGCCCTCTGCCCAAAATAATTGCCTGCCCCTGCATTAAGGTGAAAGCTAATTTGAAAAATTCAAGAAAGAGCGAGGGCGGGGTAGGGGGAAGATACAAGAGAAAGGGATCTGTAAAATGAAACTATGTAGTTTTGGGGGTTTTTTTTAAATAATATGATCCCTTCAAGAGGAGAGGAGATGATATAAAACTGAACTTCAGTTTCACCTACAAAGTAGAAAGAATCCCTTTATTTTATATTTAGCTCTTAGAAGCCACAACATGGTGAATTTGAAGCATTCCCATCCAGGGAGCATAGCTACTCTCCTGATTGGAAATCCCTTTCAAGTGGCAGGAGAAAGTGAAAGCATCCAAAACAACAGTTATTGATCACAACACACTGGGGACCAGAGCAATGCAACAGTTTGATAGTAATGACCAGAACTGTCAGTACATCATGGATCTGGAACACTGACTGGCTTTTCACACTGGGTGAGGCCACAGAAGTCAATTGGGCAGAGCTGTGGCAGGAACAGCAACGTGCAAATCTAGTTCATTTTGGTTCCAACTTAATTTAGATCATTTGGCATTTTTAGGGGCACGATCAAAGTGTCAGAGAGTACAAAATAACAGCTCTACAGTCTTCAGACCATGCGTGTCAAAGATATGCCCTAAAACTATTTTACAGACTTCCAAGTCATTTGTCCGTATGTCCATCCAGAAAAGTTTTAAAAGCTCGTGAACCATGTGATGATTCTTAATTCCTGCAGAACCTGTGTGCGCCTGTGTGTATATTGGGATATATGCCCAGGAAAACAAGACTCTCTGGCAGCTCTATTGATATAAACCCAATATTAGAAAGCAGAGCTGATTAGTCTAGTGCTCGCCAACTGGTGGTCCACAGGCTGGGGAGATAAACATGTGGGCTAGGGACAGGCATTACACATAAACTGGTTTAAGTGATCAGAAACTGGTTTAAACCTATAACAGAACAGATGCTCAGTGCACATAAACCAGTTTGAAAATGGCTGAAACCAGTTTGAGATGAACCTGGCTGAATGTAGCATCAGACTTAACTGATTTGAGTCAAACCACTTTATGCAATGCCTGTCCCAGACCCCTTGCTGGTTTAAGATAAACCAGACACCCCCAGCATCCAGGCATGCTTTGTGCTGGGTGGGGCTCTCAGTTCCACAGCAGAGCTGGCCCCTCCCCTCTGCTCCCAGGCTGGAGCACCAGTAAAGATTGCAGGTACAGCAGGGTCTGCCTGCCCTACCCCGCCCCGCACCTGCTGCTGAAGCACCAATCCCCCACTCCCTCCTTTCCATCTCTGACAACATGGACCCCAGCCCCACAGACCCTAGGCATGTGGCATGCTAGCTAATGCTGAGAGGTGTCTGTGTATGTCTCCAATTTCACTGGGACAGGCAGACAGAACAGTGAACGCTTAGTGCTTTTTGGAGCTAATCAACAGGTCAGCGGATAAGCTGTTTAAGAAGAGTGTGAAGTAATGGAGAGAGCCTATTGTTTTGCTGATGAGGTGATAATCACTGTTATCATCTCCCTGCTGGCTTGTTTGACTGTCAGACAAGCAGGGAGAGGGAGACTGAAAAGATCCATATCATCAACAGATACATGTACTACACCCCCTCCCCCCCTTACCTCACAGTGCTAGCCCAGGGCTGGGGTCTTGCAACACTTCTGCCCCATGACCAGCCAGTGGGGGAAAACCAGGGGTGGTGCAGGCAGGGTCGGGGTTTACACCCTTCCCTAATCAGAGGTCCTGCTGGGGCCTGACCACACCCCCTCAGCTCAGCACTGTGCGAGGGAAGGGAGGGCTGCTCTAGTGCCCCCCCTCCCCCCAGCTTCTAGCCTGAACCAGTCAAGGCATGTGCATGAATTTCCTCAGTCCAGAGAGATGTCTGTTACAAATCAGTTCAGCCTAGCCAGGTTAGACTAACCTGCAAAGATTGAATCAATTCAGGCTCAGGCTTATTGAATGTCTTTCTCTAGCCCTGGTCTGCATTTCCTGCCTGGCCACCACTTCCCCCATTCCTCCTGCTACTGTGCTGGGCAGTGACTCCAGGCTCCCCGTCACTCCTCCAGCTTCCTTTTCCTGCCTCCACCCATGGGGCAGCATGGCTCATGGCATCCAGTAGATACTGGTATGTAGGGGCAAGGGAGTTGCTGCCTCAGCTTTCCACGTTGGGTGGAGGCAGGTTGCACTGTCCGCTCAGCAGGAGACTCTGGAGTCTCGTCCCCACAGCATGCAGCCTAGGGACTGCAGCTCATGTGACAGAAGCCGGATAGCCCTGGGCTAGCATGTTATTCTATGGACCACTAGGCAAAATGACAGTTGCATAGTCATGAAATTAAACTGTGAAACATGGTAAAATGGAAATGAGGCAGAAAGTAGCTAATTTCATTGCCAGCCAAGAAAGAAATGTGATGTTATTTGTAGGGCACCTTGTCCATAAACAACCTCCTTTTGTCCAAGAATTGTTTTGCTTTCACAAATCAACTGTGTGCTTAATTTTCACACAATATTCCCTAAATTCACAGATGACAGAATTAACATAGGCAAAGCACAGTGGTGTTTGGTTGGCATGTAAACATTATTCTCAGACATGAAAATGTATGAAATCTATTGATTTTGCACCTAACTGACAACATCCAGAAGTTGTTTCTGCAAAAGGAAACTACTTGCAAGTTTGACAGAAGTAGGAGAAGGGCAATAGTGATAAAATAATCAAATCTGTTGCAGTTCCAGAAAAAGCAGCTCTCCAGAAATACAGGAAAAGATGCACTGCGAATGGGATATAGGGCACGATTTTAAGTCTACTTACTTCGTAATTGGCAATTGCTTCTCTATCAAGGCCCCGTGTCACTGAGACTTCCCCAGTGTTCTCATTAATTTTGAAAGCTCCTTTTGGGTCTTGATCAACTCCCTTCCCAGAGATTCGAAACTTTGATCCCTCCGGTCTATCGCTGTTGATAACCTGTGCAGAGAAAGCAAACGAGTTAGGGTCCAATGGATCAAAAATGTTATGAACACTGTAATTTGACACACACTTTTTTTTTAAAGCTTTTTCCTCAAGTGGAAGAAAAGGCATAGTTGGTATTTTTATTTCTTCCCATTCAAAAATAAATATTTAAAATACAATTTCAATCTCACTGACAAAAGAGTGCACTTTTAATATTAGATATGGAAACAGTCAAGAGGATTAATCACAGGATCGTAATGCTAAGTATTAATGTATCCCTCTTGGCCCCTGTTACTTATTTTCCAGATTACCATTACCCTGCTGCTACAGAACATGCCCAATGAGGAGGGACTGTGATTTGATTTTATTTAAGAAGCAAGGATTTCTTAGGCAATATCTTTTATTGGACCAACTGAATCGTTGGGATAAAGCTAGGCAAGGTTTTGAATGCAAGACATTATTCATCAGGTCTCAACAGTAAGAGATCCATATTTGTCGTTTAAGTGGAGAAAGAAAACAACACGTTCATTTGGACTGGGATAAAAGTGTGGAGACTTGTTTTGTTGTGAGCAGCCATTAATATGCAGTGTTTGCTACTTAGGTGAAGGTTATTATTGATCTCAAATGAACTGAAAGAAAGATTAACATTGTGCTTCATATTTTCTCATGCCCCCATCTTCCTGCTGTCCTCCCTCGGTTGTTAAACCAAGTAAAATCTACTGAACACATCTGGGTGTTGTGCCCAGGAAACAGCTTTAATCACAAAGATGGAATTCCTGCTCTTTGCATGAGTATATTCTTGGCTTTCACAGCCTCCTTCCCCCATTTGAGAAAATCTCTATTCAAATGTATTAGTGGCAGAAGCGTGTGTAAACTTCTAGAACTACCAAGTGTTTGTCACAAGCGGCATGCTTTGCAAATTTGTATTTATACACCAGAATCTAGGAGGATTATAAATTAATCTTGCCCTTTAAGGCTGACAGTCTTGCCAAACCATTCCTTCCTATTGCTGTTTGTCCATGTTCTTTTTGTTTCTACCAATTTTATATTGTTAATGTTTCCACAGAAACAATAAGTCAAATATTTATGTGCTGGTCTGAATCACAGCTCAGGCAAAGGAAAGAAAAAGGCGGCACTAGGAATCTGGAACTACTCCCATTTGGAGGCAATAATTATGCAGAGAGTTTAATAAAGTCCCTGAGGAAATGCATGTTTGTTGCCACGTTGCTGTGGGTTCAGCAAAGCTGGTTTGCAGATTAGTGGGCACTGAGATTTTTTTATTAAACCCCAAAATAATTTCTCTCTCTTTTTATTTGTTTATTTTTTTAACTAAGGGCAACATTGCCCCAAGACACGAAATAAAATATTTCTGCAGACAAAGTTTCAGTTCTCCAAGAATTTAAAGGGAAATTTAAGAGCAAAACTCTGCTTCACCTTGTCTCCTCCTGCTTAAGAAACAAATGGATGGAGTTGTTCCTCATGTATTTCCCAATATGCTGCAGCAAAACAAGAGAGACACGATGGAACCTGGCACCTATCTTACCAACATGAGAAGCTTTCTTAAATTCATGTCATCTTTTGACAAAGGTTAATTAATATCAGGTTGTGAAATGGGTGAGGTCTATCTGGTATCACAATCTGTTTAACTCATCTGGGAACAGGCCATGACCTGTCTTCCACCTTAGCAGAGCCTTGGGTCCCACTTTTGCCGTATTTTGGGACAGAGTCCTTCTGCACACTCCTGTAACCACATGCCATCAGTTGGGCACGTGCAATTTCCACTCCTGCAGAAATTATATATAAGGTATTTTCAGTGTGACCGCAAACCTGAATTTTGCAGGGTGAATAACTGACCCATTCCCCTTATCAGAGCTCCAGGAAATAGAGAGCTGGGTTTGAGAATCCTAGCTCTTGTGGGAACTAGCAAGACCAGGCCCTTCTCTCCTACAAATCTACCAAAAAAGAAACACATCCAGGCAATTTTACCACTGGCAAGACTTGAAAGACTCTTCTCTGCGTTGGTACCACCTCCCAACGCAAGTCACTTCTAGAATCCACTGCTGCAAAATGAAATCCCGACAATAAGAATGGAGATTAAATTGCCCCACCACTACTTTGGCTTTAGAAGTTTGCTGGTAACATCAGTGCATTTGGGAATGACATACAATAGCTGCAGGCATGGGAAGCACAGAGAAGCGCAGGTCTTGCATGCATACTATTCTTTGGGAACAGCAGTGACAATCGATATAATTCTTTTTTTCCCCCAAGTTTGATTTTTGTAATGTTTAATTAGCCACAAGAGGGAGCTCCATGCTCTCAGCAATATAATCAGAACATTAACATCCTCTAATTAAGATTCTTATAGAATGGCTCTGAAGTTCAAAGAAAGGGCATTCCCCAGTCCCAGATAAGTCCCATGCAGATGAAAAAGTTGAGTAAAAATCAGACGTAATTTGCCATATGTTTTGGTGTTTCACCAAGAACAGGGAGGACTTTCTGACATCAGCTCTGAGAAACTCTTCATACAGAACAGTGTCTTAAATAGTACTGTTTATGCTAAGATTTCGAGGTATATCACAAAGGTGGACAGCAGCCTCCATTTCCAGATGGGGCGAGTGAAGCAAGGAGAGCTAAGGCTAAAAATGTTGGCCTCTGGGTGCGACACTTAAGCTGCATACTTTTCAGAGTTGCTGAATGCCTCGGGTTCAAAATGGGACACTTGTTTCAGGAGACTAAGGATGGATTTAGGGACTTCAGCACAGCTGTCAAAGGTTGCAAGCTTCTGCCCAAGGTTGCACAAGAATTCTTTGGCAGCATACAGAATAAAACCTCAGACTCCCTGATGCTTGGCCTCCTATTACTAGGCTACGCTACCTTTAGGGGGACTAAGGGCTGCAAACATGATGTAAGCATAACAGATACAAAATCCATACTGCATTCCAGAAGTTATAAGTTTCTTGGCAATAGTTTTGGAAGCAGGAAGCGAGGGCCTGATCTTGTAAGGTGCAGAGTTCTTTCCCTCAGGTGCTGGATTGCCTCATGTCATTAATTGCAGCGGGAGTTGCAAATGCTCAAAATCCTGAAGGACCCAGTCCTCAGTTATCCCTGCATGGATGAGCTGGGCTGTGGTAATGCTTGTTCAGCTGATTCTTTAGCCATGGGGCCTTCAATAAAAATAACCTGCATGAGGGTCTCAAAGTGTGGCAAACCCTTCTAACATGTATAAGCATTGCAATGGAAATTAATGGGTGTTAGGTGTCGGGATGTGCGAAGCAGGTTCTATGCAATTCGGATTCAGCCTGAATCAGGGACAGTGATTCAACTTGTTGATTCAGATCACTGTCCCCGATTCGATTCAGCCGAATCCGAATCTGAAGATTCAATGATGATTTGGAGAATCGGCGATTCGGACATCGACACAGCTTTAAAAGTTTTTTCTACATACCTCAAGATGCAAGGTGTGGCTCATGATCGCTGTGATGCTGCGGCACATGAAGCATCCCACAGCAGTGCAGCGTGGCCTTCCACGTGCTCGGCAGCAAACCCGGAAGTGGACTGGAAGAACTTCTGGTCCACTTCCAGGTCCGTCGGGGAGTGCACAGGGGGTCCCCCCCATTCCCCCCCAGCTCGGTGATCAGGCGCAGGGGGACCCCAGACCCAGGAGACACCAGTCGCCAAGACAGGGGGTATGGGGGGGCGGGCCAGCGTGCTCCCCAGCAGAGCCGGAAGTGGACCAGAAGTGCTTGTAGTCCACTTCTGGGTCCGCTGCCGAGCACACTGGGGAGTGCCCTGCACTTCTGTGGGATACTCCATGTGCCCCAGCATCACAGCTACCTAGAGGTATGTGGAAAAAACATTTATAGCTGTGTCTGTCCGAATCTCTGAATCTTTCCGGAACAATTTGAAGGGCTCCAATTCAATTCAGAGAGATTAAATGGTCCTCTGATTCCATTCGGATTCAGAGATTCTGCCACTGAATCAGGCCGAATCTCTGCTGAATTGAATCAGGGACCAAAGTTTCGCACTGCCTAACTGGTGCCTAACTGCCTTTGAGGCTCTAGGGTATGTGTGTTTCTCTGTGCTTCAATTCACCTAGAAAGTCTATCTGCAAAATGGGGGCAATAGCATATTCCTGCCTCAGACGGGCACTGGGAAACTAGAGATATTAAAGATTCCATGATACTCCAATAATAGGCTTGTGAAGGTCATATGACTAACATCCTAGGTGGACCAAAACCTTGCCATAAAAAAACCCCAAAAAACTTAAGACAAAGGATTTGGATTCTGATCTATTTAAAAGAATAGATTCTACATGCAGAAACTTTCCTCAGTTAATACAGCTTGCCTCCTTTTGAATCTTGGCCAAAACATATTTACCAAGCACTATTTTTCAGCTGACATTATGTATCCCTTCCAGCTAAGCTCATTTCAGCATTGCGATCGTTCAGTTGTTATGGGCTTATCACAAAAGTAAATCAGTGTGTTCTCAAGAGAAGGAGAGGAACAGATAAAGGAACAAAAAAAAATGACATCCCCAAGAGATAGATTTTTATAGTTCTGCAACTGCAGCAATTCTGCCATCAACAACATTATTAGCAACTATGGAAGTGCTGTTGTGTAATTAGTCTTCTAACTTGAAATATTTCTACAATTTCTAAATTCTTAGCACTGGCTCCCTCTGTATCAAAAATACATGAATTTAATTCTTTGTCTAGATGGATGGCTTTCCCTATCTGCTTGTTTCTTCCTTACTGGTATTAAAGCCACTCATACTATTAGCATTTATACTATAGCAGCACCTAAAGGACATGAGCAGAGTTCTCTGAAAATTCGCCACTGAAATTGGTTTTTGACACAGTGCTGGAATATGACAAACATAATGTTGTAAAAAGTTCCTGCGTTCTGGAGGAAAATGTCATTCTTTCATTAAAGCACAAAGACCCAAATCCATGCTAATTCAACTTGAAAAGGCTGTCATGATGACTCATGGATGTCATAGCTTGGTTTCCTCGTGT